GATTTCTGGAAAGGTGCTGGATGCGATACCACGATACCATGTGACAGTCTTACACAGTTAGAATTAATGATAGAGTCAACAAATCACTAAGTAAATAAAAACTGAAAAATACTTTTAGGTGTGTCAGTCATAGAATCATAGAATACTAAGGGTTAGAAAGGACCTTAAGATCACCTAGTTCCAACCCCCCTGCCATGGACAGGGACACCTCACACTAAACCATGCTACCCAAGGCTCTGTCCAACCTGGCCTCGAACACCACCAGGGAGAGAGCATTCACAACCTCCCTGGGCAACCCATTCCAGTGCCTCACCACCCTTACACTGAAGAACTTCTTCCTTATATCCAAATCTAAACTTCCCCTATTTAAGTCTGAACCCATTACACCTTGCCTATCACTACAGTCCCTAATGAAGAGTCCCTCCCCAGCACCCTTATAGGCCTCCTTCAGATACTGGAAGGCTATGAGGTCTCCATGCAGCCTTCTCTTCTCCAGGCTGAACAGCCCCAACTTTCTCAGCCTGTCTTCATATGGGAGGTGCTCCAGCCCCCTGATCATCCTCATGGCCCTCCTCTGGACTTGTTCCAACAGTTCCATGTCCTTTTTATGTGGAGTACACCAGAACTGCACACAGTACTCCAAGTGAAGTCTCATGAGAGCAGAGTAGAGGGGTAGGATCACCTCATTCGACCTGCTGGTCACGCTCCTTTTGATGCAGCCCAGGATACGGTTGGCTTTCTGGCATCAGCCCACCTCACAAGCGTGTCAAGGTCCCTCTGGATGGGATTCCTTCCCTCCAGCATTATCAACTGAACCACACAGCTTGGTGTCATCAGCAAACTTGCTGAGGGCTCACTCAATCCCACCGTCCACGTCAGCGACAAAGATGTTGAAAAAGACCCGTCTCAACACTGATCCCTGAGGGACACCACTCATTACTGGTCTCCAGCTGGACATTGAGCCATTGACCACAACTCTTTGTGTGCAGCCATGCAGCCAGTTCTTTATCCCCTGAGTGTTCCATGTATCAAACTGTCTCTCCAATTTAGAGACAAAGTCATCCATTAGCCATTTAGAGACAGTCAGGCCATTACAGAACAGATGCACTTGACTGCAGAAGAAGTCACTGATGATAGGGTTTGCAGACAAGCACGCAGGGAGGACAATGCTGTCATATTTAAATTTCTTCAGAAGGTAAGTCCATTCAAACAATGTTGGTTAATATAGAGAGCAGCTACTGCTCAGTCACGGTTCTGGGTTCCTGATGAATATCAACTTAAAAGTTTGCTTAGTGGCCTATAGTGAGAATCAGCAGTTTATTTATGCAAAGCTCAGGAGGCAGTGTTAAATCATCACTTCGTAACCTGGACAACTACTGCTAGAGCCAAGTTGCATCCTGGAGGCACTCTGGAAGAAAAGCATATTTTCTGTGTCTCTTTTTTAATTGTTGTTGTTTTTTCCCTCCTCAAAATAAAACAGTAGGGTTATGACACATTCGGGTACCATCAACTCAAGCAACATTTCTAGTAAAATATGTGGTGCTATCTATTTGAAATCAGCTATTCAAAGCAGTCAAATACAATATAAAAAGACACTTTTTCCCGTAATCTCAGCCTGAGGCTTTTGGAGATTTTGTAGATAATAAGCAACTGACACTATCTCTTCCTCCCCATTGAGAACATGATACAAGCCAGACTGGCTCAGACTGTCAGTATTTCAAAGAAAGCAGGTTTTCCCCAGTGGGATGAAGGTATACTTTTTCCCCACATTTTATTGAGATCTACAACCTCACTCTCTTTTAAGAGTTTGCCCTTCTCTTTTAGGGTATAAAAGCTTCAGTGACAGAAAGAAAAATATTAGCATCTGTAACACTCCTAAATTGTCACAAGCCTTTGGCATGCACGTTAAATTTCAAGGTTACTGAAATGTCTTTGAAACAAGTGGTTTCCCTGCTGAGCTTTAACAATAATAAATACAGATTATGCAAGCAGAATCAAAAGTTTCAGGCAAGCTCTTATAATACAATGAAAACCTGAAAAAGAATGGACAGGACAGTCCATTGAAGATTCTCTTACACGTCTATCTGAAAGTCATTTGCATTGCATATTCCCTGTGTCCAAAGTGTCTAATTGTAAAAATTTGCCACAACCATCTTTAAATTTATTTTAATACTGAAAATACTTTACTCAAACAATGGCATTTATAAGCAGGTATTTTAGTTTTTCTCTGTATAGTCAAAAACTCTTTGAATACTACATAAAAGGAAAATAGTTGTAATAGGATTACTGTTAGGCACTGAAAACTTGGAAAGCACAAACTCAATTCAATAGGTTAAAAGTAAACCTAGTGGAGTCAAAAAGTGTTGGTTTTAAATAGATAATTTGGGCCATACATGGAAAAGTAAGAACAGATTTGCTCTGTTCTATTGTTCAAAGGAAAGACTCATAGATTCTCTTTGATAGAAACACAGGAGTAGGCAGGAAGTCGTAGCTCAATGAAAGCAAACTCCAAATAAGCAATACAGGAAAGTGATTTCCTTCACACTGGAGTTAACCTCTTTTAGAGCAAGAGTGACTTTCTTTGGTTTAGTGTAAATTTCAAAGTGACAAACTCAATTAAAGTTACCTGTATTCCAGAATAAAAGTCTCTGCACAAAACTTATAGCTGTATCTTGTTAAATTCATGCTCAGTCTTGCTCCACCATGACTTTTCTGAACAAGCAGCCCTAAAATGTGGACCCATCATGATCACGATCAGTGTAATGCTTGCATTTATGGAAAAAATAGAAAGACTGAACCCAAACATTTGCCAACAAGTTTAAATCTAATCATCTGTATCTATTAATATGTCTAATTTAATAAAAACCAGTTATTAAAGCTTCTTTATCATTAATAGTTTCCCAAGAAGCTCTGAGATCAGTCAGTAACCCCACCTATTTCGAGAAAAGCATGACGAGAAGTTGTCATATTGATTCGACTCCCTTTCAGTGCAAGTAAAATATGAAGAACAGAAGCAGCATTAGATGAAAGCTTAACTCTTTTTAGGGGTAAAACAAAAGATACTCAACATGCCATAGGTTAGCTTTTGATGAATATTTGGAAATAAATTTAAAATACTCAGACTGGTTTTTTCTTAAATGAATATTTTGGAAAAGTAGAAGTTGGTTTCGGAGAGCTCTGTTATTCATAGCCATTTCATAGGAAGAAGGAATTAAAATTAAGACTCAAACATTTTGCTTCCCCATTTCTTAAGCATGGTTCTAAATGAATAACAACAAGACTAAATGTTGATTTCTTAATATGCATTCATTATAAATATGTTTAGTCAATTAGCACAGTGTTTCACAGACCACAGTTGCAGGGCTGGCAAGCTGAAGATCTAATGTGGCTCACTGGCAAAAATACCATTTCACACATTGTCAGTTTGCTGGTACTGGAAGAGCAACCAAACCAGGTTCTTCTCTGCACACATGACAACAGTCCATATAAAGCCAATCAACTGATACTACTTAAGGAAGTTTCCCACATGCAGAGAAACAGAAATCCAGTTCATTCTTCCAACTGGCATCAGCCCTACATCTCTAACAAGTAATAAGCAAGCATTCCCATTTTAGTCATTTAAAAAAACCGAAACAGACACTCAAAAACCTGAAGATTAAGTATCTCACTGACAAAACTGCAAATACATATTTCAAACACCCACAAAACATGGCATTATTATCCGATGGCTGCTCAACTCTAGCAGAGTGATACTTCGTATTTTCTTAGCAAAGTACAAATCCCTAATAGCTTTCTCTGGGGAACGCCGTATCACCCTGCAGTACTAACTTTGGTTAAAGAGAAGCGAAATACGATCTGTAACTTTCAACTACCTCTTTCCTTTCAGGTACCCATTCCATAGCTGAGATAAAACTACCCAAGTGTCACACTGTAACAGCACAGAACTGCTAATTGTTAACAGTAACTGGGAAGACAAGAGTTCAGCCCCCGCAGAAAGTTCAGAAAGAGAGTTCTCTCTACCAAGATGACAAACATCTGACTTAAAATAGGCAGGTGTTATAGTAAGAGTCTGTAAACATTAACAGTAGCCTTATTACATAACTTCTTAAACATCACACACAGCATTCTCAAAACCCTGCACTGAACATTTGTTGCCTGGGAAAGTCTTCTCCCTCATTGGGGCAGCGATTTAGAGAGAAGAATGTATGTTGTGCTTTCTTTGGAGTTCTTACTGTTGCCCATACTGCAAACAGCAAGCGCTGAAGCAAATGCCTCAGATGATCAACGGTCTTATTTCACCTATTAACCCAAAGTGCAATAGGCAGATGTTAAAATTTTGTGGAATAAAGGTGCTGGAAAGATCAGAGGTTATCCGTTCCTGCTGATTATTAGTACATTATTAGCAATAAAATCACCTGAAGATATATGGACTCCTCAGAACAGAAATAAGTCATTTCCACTTCACGGGTAATGAGACTAAAAGCATTTTAAAGAAAAGTCTAAAGCTACAGTGTAGCTATACAAAGTGATGTAAAGGTAAAGAAGCAGCAGCAGAAAAGCCTATCTCTTCACCAAGTTTTCAGTCAGCAAACCCAAACGCCTTTAGAAACATCAAATGCTTATAAAACTGTACAAAGCACTCACCCTACAATAAGTTTAAAAAAAGAAAACTCACAAGAACAAAATGCAGATTGTTAACGCGGACTTTTAATGCACCCTGAGCTAATCGTTCGCAAAGTCAGCAGAACTTCCACTCCGAAGACAGAATTATTAGAATAGGTCTTGTTACCTGAGCACTCGCATGGATCACAGAAATAGTAAAAAAAAAAAAAAAAGAAAAAAGGGGGGGGAAGCAAAAAAAAAAAAAGCACAAATTTCACACTTTCCCAACCTCACTCAGCCACCTCCCCTTCAAAAAGAAAACAGGTCTGCCACATTGCCAAATCCCTATACACCAGGGCTGGGAAACACTGGTTGAAGGGCAAGAAGGTGCGCATTACCTGCCAGCGGCCGTAGCTGAGCAGCAGGAGCGCCAGGGGGATGGCGGTGCCCGACATGGCGTGAGTGGAGGGCATGCTGTACTCCGAGTTGTAGAACACTTCCAGCTTCACCACAGGCGGGGAGGCAGGCCGCGGCCAGCGGATGACATCCTTGGTGCACTGCCCCAGGTACATCACCCACACCCAGATGATGATAAGCCTCCGGCCCAGCCAGGCGTCCAAGTTCCAAATGCAGAAGGGGAAGAAGAGGATGTAGAAGAGCTCGTTGCCGAGCTCCGTGCCCAGACTGAAGAGATAGTAGAGGAAGCGGCTGCGGGTGGAGAACTCCTGGCTGCCGTCCTCCTCCGTGAGGGAGTTGCGCCGCGGCCTCCTCCTCCCCCGCTGCGGGGGACCCGCCCCACCGGGCACAGTCCCGTTCCCGGCGGGATGCCCCTGCCCTCCCATCCGCTCCGCTGCCGGCGGGCTGCCGTTAGCCACCGGCCCCCGGGCTCCGGCTCGCTGCTCCGCATCGGCCCAGCCCGTAGGCCCCTCCACCCCGCAGAGCCGCTGGAAGGCGGCCACTTTCTGTGGGTCTTGCAGGTGGGCGGCCAGCCGGGACAGGCGCCGGCAGAGAGCCATGGCTGGAGGACGAGGCCGCCCGCGAGGAGCGGGCTGAAGGCGGCTAGATTCTGCCTGGGTAGGCGGACGAGAAGCTGAGGGGGCTTCGCTTGCGGGGCGGCGAAAAGGACGGGGGATCCCGTGCGTGCGGCGGGGAAAAGAACGGTTCCCTCAGGAGAAACCCGCTCGAGGGCGGGGCGAAGACACCGCCCGGCCCGAGCCCCCGCCACCACCGCCCTCGCCTCAGCTCGGCTTCCCCGCGCCGCTCCGGTCCCAGCTCCCTCACTCTCTCTAGCTCTCCCTCGCGCGCGCGCGCGCCCGTCACCGCCCCTCGCCAGCACCACCCCGCTGCGCATGCGCGCAGCAGCCGCCCGCGGGTACGGGCTCCCCCGCAGAAAACCTCATCGCAGTGCGGATTGGCTGCTGCTCTCTCCCGATCCCGCCCCTTTGCTAAGGGAGATCCAATCAGAGCTCGGCTTTGCGCGAGGCAGCGGGCGGCGTGCCTCGGCCTCGAGCGTGAGGCGAAGAAACGGGCGCAGGGGTGGTACGTTCTCGCTGGTTGCAGCCTGGCCTTCGGTCCTCAGTGAGCCGGTTGCTCTTCCTTCGTGCTTACGGTGAGCTACTGCTGCGCTCGCCTCAGCCACCGTCTGGCATCAGCACTCTGAGGCCCATGTTCGGCTGCCCCTGCCCTCCTCTTCCTCCTCTCTCACTGCCCGTGCAGACCCCAGAAGCAGGAATCTGGTGGTATAAACATGAGCGGGAGAGCTGGTTTCAGACAAGAGACTGTGAGTGATCTTGACCCCAGCAGACAGGCCGTTTACTTGTGGGGGTGGTGAGTTACCCACAGGGATGCAGAGCTGACAGGCACTTCCGGGGGTTCTGCAGGGCATTATGGGAGGAGGTTCCACACCTCCCTAGCTGCGTGTGCATGGCTTGAAGTTCAGCAGGACCAGAACATTTGCAGTCAGGTACTTTGGAAGGCCGCCGTTGCTGGGGTTTCCATCCTAGAAATGCTGTGAGAAATGCAAGCTTCAGTCACCAATGCTCTCTGATGCTGCCGTTTTTAAAAGCGTGAGCAACATGACCCAAATGATTGGTTAGCTTAATAGCTATCCTCACCAAAACAGAACATCTGATATAGAACTTGAATAATTAAAAGTTGAAATTAAAGAATATAACGTATGTCTACACAGTATTTTCATAAAAACAGGTGTTAACACTGTGAGGTACTTGACTCAGTGCTTCATGATACTTAAATGGAATTTGCTGCCAGATCTCAAGAAGAGGAAGAGCTGAGTTGAAAGAAACGGTGTCTGAAGACGTTCCAGGAGTAGGTTCTATGTTGTACTATATTTTAGCAATGATCTGGAAGCAGATCTAAACCTGCTGCTGCCAAGAGTTAAACTCCAGGATTAATGGAGTCATAAATAATGGTGAAGGTGGGGCACTGATCAGAATGGTTGGTACAAGCAGCCCATTCAAACGTCACTATTTAATCCAGCAAACTATAAAGTTGTCTCTCCAGAACCAGCTGTGGAAGCTGTAACTGGAGAACAGAAGACTGTAGCCTGGGAAGGTAATGACTTTGAGAAGGATTTAGGGGTCAGAATAAGTAAGCAATCAGATAAGGGCTGTCTTGTATGTGGCTGTGGCAGAAAAGGATTAATCAATGTATAAACAAAGGAATAAAAAAAAAATCTTTATTTTACCTCTCATGTTTGGCCTCAAAAATGTCATCCATGGGATAGTGCATACAGTTCCGGTTTTCAGATTTTAAGAAGCATGCTAGAAAATGAGAAAGAGAAAGACTGAAGCAAAATGTTCTGATGGTTAGAGAAAATGCATTACACTAGGAGGTTTTAAGTGCTCAGGCTGTTAAAATTTATCTCAAAAGTGGACTGGGAGGTGACTTAATTGTAGTGTATAGGAATATTCCTGGGGGAAAATCCAGGATATTAAAGGGCTCTTTAATCTATTGAAAAAAGGCATAATAAGAAGTAATGGCCAGAGGCAAAAGCCAGACAAACTCAAATAGGAAATAAACCACACATTTTTACATGGTTAACCACCAGAACACGTTCCCAAGAGAAGCTGTGTATTTTCCATTGTTTTATGTCTTCTGTTAAAGATAAGATGTATTTCTGAAAATTATTTTTAGCTGAGCAGAGATTATATTTTATCTATTGGATGAATACAGTTTGAAATCTGATGGTCCATGGTATACATTGTGTCAGGTTAATCTAATGGGACCATCATGGTTTAAATTTTAAATGCCAGAAGCAGACATTTTCTTAATAACCGTGAGCATTAAAATAAATTTTTATTTTGCCTTGACATATTTATGTGCCGTAAAAAAGCCGATCTGAATTAAGCTTTTGGCTGCAGAATATACTTACTAAGACAGTATCTAAAGGTTTTGACCTTTCGCTTCCTAAATTTACACTTTGGGGATTATTTGGAAAAATTTGTCTGCGTTTTAATTTAAATTTCTGAAGGAATGGGTCCTTAGAAGTAATTCATTTGGTGCATTCTGATTCTCTTGGCCTTGAGGCAATTTTACATAATTGATGTTCACATTATAAAATATTTCTTGGGGAAATATTACCCAGAGTGCTCAGATAACAATGCACCAAATGAATCCTGATAAATTTCCTATATTCTGCATTATGTATATTTTTATGTTGCATATGCTTGCATCCCTGTAGCCTTAACCTCTCTTGAGGCATTATAATAAACAATTATATTATCAATGGAGGAGCAGCTGTTACTGAAAGAGAGATGAATGAAATGTAAGATTTCAGATCAGCAGCTTGGCAGAGAAACATGAAAAAACCACCCTGGAAATGGTACATGATCTATTTTTCTATCTCGAGAATGGAAGGTATGTTGTAATTTCTCTGCCTTCTCTGAGAAATGTGCAACTTTAATCCTGTGAGGAACATGTGCTTCCTAATTTACATGCTTCCCTGGCTCTTGAGCAGAAAATGCAAAGACAGGAGCTGAAAAACAAGCTGCTGCCGCCTTTTGTGCCATTTTCCCAGAGTCAAGCCACAAACAATCTCCCCTTAAACACAGAACCACTGAAATCTGTTAATTAACTTGATGATGAATTCTGGAACGAGATCTGAATAACTGTACAGGGGAAAAAAAGTGCAGTGATTACAAATGATGAAGTGAGATGTCTTTCTGGTATGTACTTGGTAACTTGAAAAAGCATAAAGTTTTTTTGTGTGTGGTTGAAACTTGTTTATTTTGACTTTGAACTGTTAGTGTGAAAATTATGCAACCTTACTACTGAAGAAGCTTTTAAATTACCTTTGCACATTTAAGGTAAGAAGCAATTGCAGTGGGCACTGCAGATGGAAGGAGTATCAGTAGAGGTCTGAATGGCTAGTTTCCTGTTGAAATAATTATTCTAATGCTGCTAGGATTTTGTTATATTGTTAATGATGTTAAAGTGCCTAGAGTCAGAGGAAGGCTTCATTTTAGATTGTTTTGAATGTAAATGAATAAAATGTTCTAATAGTACCAGCTTTATTATTAAAAAAAAAAAAAAGATGAGTACTCAGATTTGAGAAGGTTAGGGTGTATTTATCATAACATTTAGTCTTCAAAATGCATAGGAGAATAAGGAAAGATGTTTATTTCCAAGTAATATATTTTACTATGAGCGAAAACCCCAGAGAGTTCTTTAATTTGTGCTTGAGCATGAGCTACTGCAATAGCTTAGTGAAGGAGCACTGGGCAAGTGCTGATGTTCTCCCACAGCAGTGGAAGAAAGAACATTCTGAAGGGTTTTCAGCTTACTTATGATGTACTTGGTCATTGCTGAGTTCTGCATAGTACTTTTTAGTAAGCAATTTAAGATATTAAAATATAATTATCTCTGTACAAGTTACTGCTCATGAAATCCAGCGAGAGCAGAATTATTTTAAGTTCTATTGGAAAAGCTATCATTAGTAAATATGTAAATAATGAACCAATGTATCACTTCTCTTAGATAGGTCTAACAAATATGTTAAGTCTCCATGGGTAAAAAAAGTTAAGGACTTTGGAAAGAATGAGGCTTGGTTCTTGTCTCTTTGGTATTCTGATTGCTATACTAAAATCTTTACCGACTACAATAAAAGTAAGTTCAATGACTTGCTGCAATCCCCTGATTTCAGTTTAGCCTGGTTATGCATTTATTTCTGCAAGATGATGTCAAAGTTCCATATGTAAGTGGTTTATTTTTTGTTTGTTTTTATAACACTTTGTATTATTTACTTCTGAAAATTTGCTAAACTGTTCATGCACTATTAAATTGCTGTAGCATTTGGATATGATAGGGAAAGGTCACTGGATACCTCAGAAATCTGATCCGGTGGCAGACCAGACAAAGTGAACATGAAAACCCAAACAATATTAACTTAGCAATAGCACTGTAAGCAACACAAGCAAAAAATACAGGCTTTGTTTAAATGGTGGATGTTTGGCTTCAGAGTTACAAGCCTGGATTTCCAGGGAATGGAATAAGGTGGCGTTGCTGTGTTGCTATTTTAGCATGGAGTTGCACAGCAGCACATATTTGCGTGTCACAAGACACTTCTTATACTGTTGCCTCATTTAGATGAGGGCTGAGTATGCCCATCATTACTGAATCTGCCCAGCTGCTTGGGTTAGGTTTTCTTTTTTTCTTTAGGTGTTTATATTGGCACATAATCTTGGAAAGGCACAGAATTTTAGTGACTAGGTGATTGTATGCAGATGCAAGGTGTACAATGTTGTTACTTGTTATAGCAAACAATAAGTAAAAGGTTAAAAATAGGTAATAAAAGAGACTGCAGCGATAGGGTCTCCTCTGTGAAGTCGTTCTAGGAATGCAGTTGTTGCAATCTTATCATTCTTCTGTGAACTTAAATCCATGTGTTTAACCATGTCACATGCCATTTCAAACATAAATCAGATAGGGTGACATTATTTAAGGAGTGTTTCTATTGTGCTAAAAAGGAGATTATTCTGGTTTTGACATTATCTTAAACTATTACATGTCCTCAATTATAGCATGAGAGTATTTTACAGTCATTAATTGGCACCTCCTCAGAACAACTCTATAAAGGAGTGGAATGTGTAATTGTCACCCCTGTCATTTTTTACCTGGGAATGAGATACAGATTTGGTAACAGTTTCAGTATACTTCCATTTATTCCATTTTCCAGGTTCCTGTAATTTTAATTTTTAAATTTTGTAATCTGCTGTCTGTATGGTGAGAAAATTGAGGTTTTTTCCCCCATGGTGTCTCAAAGTTACTAACAAATCCTGAAGCAATTACAAACCCTTTGTCTTTTTGCCTCCTCATGCCAGCATTTGGAATTGAAAACAATTGAATTTTGGAAGGTGGAGGGAGAGGTTAGTTGCTTTGTAGGTGGGTAGGGTTTGTTTGCTCTGTCTACCAGGAATTAAATTGTATAACTGCTTGCTTTTGCTTGGAGTAGCTGACTGTACCTTCATTCCCATGCTCTGCTTGATTATTCACACCGTTTGTCTATGGAAGAGACATGTTACTAACTGGATGCATGCACCTCTTTGGGTACCATCCCTGTATTATTTTATAGCTATGTTTTATTACTAGCAAGACAGCAGAGGAAGGGTTGAATTAAAAAAACAAAATTTGTGCATAACTCTTTATCAACCTAAAGACCAGATTTAGAGGGTTCCTTCTTCCCCACATCATCTGAACTTTTGTGCTTATACAATACTTGCAGCCTTTTTATCACTCTAATTTTTGCAGATCCCTTAAAAGATATTTGTCCTTTAAGAAAGGAGTAAGTTCTTTCATGCTGACTTGCATCAACTGCGATTACTGCATATTGGATCGAATTTTGTGTGCAAGAGTGGGAGTTACATCAGTGTCTGCAAGCCAACTGTGCTGCCAGGGCAAACAACTGCTGAGAACTCTCGCCAGCAGGAAGCTTCTTGTTGGAACATGCCAAGAGCAGCAGGGATCCCAGCTCCCAGTTCCCCAGAAGCAGAACCTGCTTGCTGATGAGCCAGTTTAAAGAGTATATCCCCAGTGCAAGGATGAGAACAAGCCTCTCCACAGGGAGGGGGGTGGGGGGGCAGGATTCCCATCAGAGACAAGTGATCACATCCTAGGAGTTACAGCTTCATGAAGAAAAAGAAGCAGCACCATCTCAAGAGGGCAAACCCGTTCTGATTACTTAAACTTCTCAAAGAGGTGCACCCCACACTAGAGCAGAGGGAAGGAAATAATGGGAATCAACCTGATTAGCAGATACAGAGAGTTTACCACGTGGCATCCTGGAACATGAGAGGCAGAGAAAGGAATCCTACCATCAGGCTCTAAAGTTCACGTGCAGGAAACTAGGCAAGGCATGTACATACCAAATGAATCATTAGGGAAGACAGATTTGATACAATGAGAAAATCAGGATACAAAGTATAAATACAGCAGATGGGAATTTGCCTTAACATGCACAGATGCATGTTTAAATCAGTTCCGGCCTTTTTTTCCTTGAAAAACCCCAAATTGCCAAGTTTATGAAATTAAGCCAGTTCATGTTCAAATTACTCATCATTAGAGGAGGAAGAGTGAAAGCTTCCTCAGGCTTCTTTCTGACATTTGTTCATTTTCCATTCAAAGGTGGAAAAGAAACCACAGTTTGGGGAATATGTTCATAATTTACACTAATTATGAATTCTCTTGGGTTTCAACAGTGCCACTTGCAGCGATAGCTGTTATTATAGATGAGGTCATCCATATTTGAAGATTTGATCTGCAGCCAATAAAAAAGATATGTGTGAGCATGTTTAGCACTGCAGTATTGTAACTCCTAACCTTCAGACTACAATCTAGAGTCCCTTACACTCTTCCTGCAATTCAGTGGAAAAGGCAGATGCCTTGACAGACAGACCAGGAAGTCTACAGGCTGATGAGAGAGCTGTTTGGTTAGCTGATAACAAACCAGATGTGAGGATGGCTCTGAAACTCAATCCCACACTTAAGGCATGACTAAAAATGAGATACCTTTAATTATGTGTGATACAGGATCTCCTGATGGTAGTCAGTTACAAGTACTTTTATTAATAATTGGGTAGATCTCACTTTTTTACAGGATAGGATGCCCACTTTTGATGTAAACGCCAAGTGGTCAGAGCTTCGTCCTGAGAAAGGACCTTTCTAGGCTCCTTTAACAATGAGATAGCCAATATTAATTCATTTTCTCTATGGTTTTGTTTGTTGCAGGTGTATTGAGAACATTCACAACACCACCAAGAGCCTCCTTCATTCAATCTGCTGAAAACGCCAATGAGCCACCTCCCTCAGTCTTCCATCTTCAGAATATTAAGTGCTACCAGTCCTGGGAAGGTTCTTCAGAAAAGGCCAGGTGTGCTCAACACACATGGTGATACTCAGAACAACTTGCTTGCCTTACTGCTGCACCCTGTTCAAGGTAATGCAACCCATGCATCCCAGGGCAATTCAGAACCTGTATGGCAAGTATTTTGAATGTAACCAGTTGTTCTACAGGCTCTTGCTTTCAGGGTAGCATGAACATTGCTGCTTTTCTTAATTACACAGAAAGTGCTCAGAGTTATGTGTCTGTGATATTCCCTCAAATGTAAATTAACCCTTAAAGTATCAACATGAAGTAGTAATTAAAATTTTAGGGTGGTGAGTTAAAATACATAGGGGTTATATGACTTGCCCTCAGTCATCCAGGTCCTTAAATAAGTGCATTTTCATGATGGATAAGTTCTACAGTACTTACTTTGGGCATCAAAAATGGACTCGGATTCATCTGACCAAGTTAAAGAAAACTACCTATAAAGATCGCCCACTGTGGCAACTGTCTGATCCTAGAGGTATGTAAAATTTCCTACTACCTACTCATTTGTCTTGGCAGTTCTCCAGGTCACTAAACTGGAATGCCCATGGCTGCACAGGCGGCAGTGACAGGTGGGGCCAGGCTCTTGTCTGAATCCTGCCATGGTCAAGGAGGACAGCAAAGACATGTCTATGTTCCAGCTGAATCCCTGCAGGAGCTTACTGTGTTGCGCACACTCGGAGCCTTGTAGAGCTGACTTCAGCCTTGTTCACAGAGAAGCCACAGTGTTCTGTGGAAAGGATGAAGAAAGAGAAACACTAGAGCTTATCCTTCCCATAATAGCTTAATAAACGTAGTCAGCTAGGGAGTGGGAAATCTTAATTCAGTTTCACCTTGGCCTGATAGGATGCAACCCACTTATGACTCAGAAGGCTGCTGTAGCCACCAGGTTATGACATAATCCAGGGCATTGCATTTTTCATCCCTCCTCCTCCTGAATTTACACTGTTGGCTGTAAAGCACAAGGGGCTAGAAGGAGATCCAGCAAGACTTTGCATGACTTACAGTTTGGTGATTGGGATGTAGGATATCTACATTTGATGGAGCTTAACTGCTTTGGCTCAAAAGGGAGCAGAAGCACTTGATTAGGCGATCTGAATTGCCAGGTGTTGGGAGTTGCAGTACTTCTATTGGAGGTCGCCTGAGTCCTGCCCTTGGAGTTCAGTGATGTTAGTCGTGATGTTAGTCGTGCGACAGAAGTTAAGCAGCTGTAGATTTGGAGTCAGGATATGTAAATGGTAGAAGTTGGCCAAGAACACAAGACTGCTGATTCACAGAGCTGTGGTGCAAGCATGCTTAAAGCATAACTTTAAGTTGCAGGAGTTCTGTTTTAGTTTGCCCATACATCTTGTGATATATCCTTGTGATCTCCTGTGTCTGCTGAAAAGCAAGCAATAAAATACAATATATAGTAAGAGAAGCATTTTTCAAATAAGTTATTAATATTTGGAGGCAGTGGAAGACTGCAGATTTTTTTGACCACTGTATTTTAGAGAAAAAAATATGTTTGTAACTGAACAGGACTGGAGCAACTTGCAATGTAGATTTATCAGTTAAGAGCCTGAGTGTTTTAAAGATTGTTTAGTTTTGCACCTTTATTGTGTTAGAAACTACATACTGCTGATGAAGGGGCTTTTAAAACCAGCTGAGTCAGACAACAAAGGAATACAGAACACTATTCATGAAGGAGCTGGAGCTGTCACACTCACCTCATCTCAAATTTCGCAGTTTTTCTGGCTAATCAGATGTTTTTTCTCCTGATTTCTTGTAGGCTAAATATGCTCACTTTCTCTAATGTGGTTTTGCCTTATGACTGTCCTGCTCTCCACCTCTGTATGTGTAGATAGAGACATATACGTGTGCATGTACACCTTTTCTATATGCCTCTTTGTTTGGCCAATACTTAATCCATGTGTAGAGTCAGGAAGACTCTCAAAACCCTCTTTGGTTTTGCGTCATAGCGTGTAGGGCAGAGCTTTTGCAACTGCAAACTGTGCAGCCGTTTCTGACCTACTCTTTAATCCTACCAGCACTGGTGGACTGCTCGCACTTCTGGTCGTATGATAATACCAGGGCCATATTGCTGCATCTCAATGTGGTTTTCTCAGTGGCAGCTGAAGGAGGGCACTGACAGGGTCCTGACAATGACAGTAACAAGGGCAAAATTGGATTTGTTCTGAAAAAAAAAAAAGTACAGACAGAATCACTTCCTTAGCAGAGTCATTTGTTTGGGGGATATGGTTTGTAAGTCCTACTTAGGACAGAACTCTTCCTCATTTTTCCTAGTGAATTTGGATTTCATTAAGAAACAAGAGACACAAAGTGACACACTTGCTTGAGGACATACCATATGTCTTTGGACGAGTATGAGTATAATTATCCAATATCATTTATACAACCAGATCATAAACAAAGTATAACTAAAATGGCAAAGCTTCGTAGATAGAATTGCAGGTTTCTGTGTACGTAAATAGAGCTGCTGTCCTAGAGAAATTTCCAGCCTCTGAGTTCACAAGATCTGGCGTTCATGCTGGTAGTGTCTTGCTCTGTGTTGTGTCCGAAGTGTAATAGAGAGAACAAGACAAACACAGTATAGCAATCACTTACGGCCCTGTTTCAGGTGCAGATTTAATAGGAACACCTTCTTAGGTCAACAAAATCACCACCGTCCCACCAGGACTAAAGTGGGACCAGGACTTCTGGCATCTAGATGGTGCAAGAGGCTGTCCATCTTACTTCTGTTGCGTATCATGTTCAGGGGAATCCTGGCCAACAGGACTTTGCTAAAGTGGCAGAACCTATTGTTTAGCTAAATGACAACTGCCTGCAAGATTTTTAATGAAGATGATGTAGTTTTTTCCTGCAACTTAACAAGCTGGTTTGATTTTTAAAACAAGTGCTTGAAAAAGCCACATGTCAGGCTCTTAATATGAGCTTCGTCTCTGTTGAGGTGCAGTCTTGCAGCACGCCAACAAACTGAGCAGAGCAGCCTCAGTGATTGCAGCTGCAAAGCTACAACAAGGAGGTATGGCCACGTTCAAGCCAGAACGGCAAGTCAAGGAAGCAAAGACAGGATATGACAAAAGGACAGGTATAGGACGGCCTGGAAGAGACTTCTCACAGCTCTTTTGCCTGCAATCTTGTCCCTTCAAGTGCCAGAGGTTACAGAGCTAACCCTGAAGATGGTCACCAAACTCCTCGGAGTGCCTAGAGAGGTTGCAGTGTGTTGATGTATGAAGGATCCTGACAGTGTGAAAACTAAAATGCAGTTGCATTTGTTAGGGCATGCAAAATACTTGCAAGAAAACCTGAAGCCAGCATAAAACAAAAATGTGAAGCTCAGATCAGATTTCTGTGTAAACCTAGCTAAGTTTTATGATCTGTATCACTGAGCCATGTGTTCAACAAATCTGGCTTGATATTTGGCTTAAATGGTTTAAAAACTGAAGTTTAAAACATTTGTATAAATAGGCATTTACAGCCTTCTGGTTTCAGCTGCCTTTTTGCCACATACAGTTACTAATATAACTACTCTTTTCATGCAGAGCTGAGGGAAGCCTGTATGCATGAACCTGGGTGGCATTAAAAAAAAAAAAAAAGAAAAACTTAGAAAATGCCACCTTTTACCTTTAAGGGTTATTTCTTATTTCTTACAAGGCAGTCTTTGTAGGCTTTCAGCATGAAGTGAGCTCTGAATTAAAGCAGCCACACCATGCTCCCAATGTGTACTTACAAAAAATACCTCTTTGTAATACCTCACCATCTGGAGAGGGTCTTTTTACAAGGGCATGTAGTGACAGGACAAGGGGGAGTGGCTTTAAGCTGACAGAGGAGAAATTTAGATTTGATACTAGGAAGAAGTTCTTTATTGTGAGGGTAGTGAGGCACTGGCACAGGTTGCCCAGAGAAGCTGTGGTTGCCACATCCCTGGCAGTGTTCAAGGCCAGATTAGATGGGGCTTTAGGCAACCTGTTCTAGTAGAAGGTATCCCTGCCCATGGCAGGGTGCTGGAACTGAATGAGCTTTTAGGGTCCCTTCCAACTCAAACCATTCTATTATACTCTGAGCTGTTTAATTTCCAGTGAAGATACTGACCAGTGCTGTGATTCTGCAAGGATTTATCCGTATGTATCATGCTCACATCTCTCTTTGGAGTCATGTGGGTTGCACTCAGCGCTGAAAATTGGACATAATCTGAATCTTGGCAAGGTCATAAAATCTTTTGTATGAGTTTTAAGAAACCTGTGGGACTACTGCAAACAGAATTAAGATGTAACTTCCTTTCTTGGTGTTGAAATACTCTTAGTAAAGACAATACATAGATTGAAATGTAAAGAATTTTTTTAGGTCAAGGTTGATAGTTGCTTAATGGGCCTCCAGGGCTCTCAATGCCAAATAAAGTCAAAGGGAAACAAAATTCTTCAACACCTCTGCAAGCCATTATGTTGTTAGCAGGCATAAACTGTAGCAAGCCCTTTCTCCTCTCTGTGCTTCTGTACCAGTAAGAGGAAAATAAGGACACTCTTTTCCTTTGCAGATCATCTGATGAAAAGTGTCAGAAAAAGCTGTTATCAGTGAATATCTGCATTTGTGAATAATTTTCACGTAGCCTTTCAGATGCAGGAACCTTGGCATCCATGTAGAAAAATACTATTACATTGAATCCACTGTTTCTAAATTATTGTTACAAATTAAAATATGAGGTGTAAGCACAGTCCTTGATAAAAAAAAGATCTGTTCTTTGCAGAAGGTGTTTTCACACTCTTCTCCATATGGTTTAGCTATTCTCAAAAGAAAATTATTGAGAATATAGGATTATAATAACATTTGTTTGTTGTGCTGGAAAATCGATTTCAAAGTCCTTTACATGTCCTTCTAACTATACCAAAGCAGTAAAAAACATCACACCACAGCACCCATGTGTCCCATGTTTAGCATAAAACTGTATCACAAAGGCATAAAAATACAGAATAAAATAATTCTGAAGCTGACAAGAGAGGAGAAGCTTTCCAGAGGCGTATCTAATAGAAATACTGACCTACATAAAGCATATGAAGTATACCCATGACCAAGAGCCACAGCTTCTGTAGTGGGTATCTCCAAGGGCTGGGGAGAAGGTTGGGGCCCTTGTGGGCAGGAGGTGGCTGGCAAGGCTGGGAGAGGTGTCCAGCTGCCTCCCACAGCAGCCCCAGGCTGTTACTTTGCTGTTCCCATCTGGGTGATGCCTCCGCCAAGGCTTGCACTCGGTGACAAGTATCACACAGAAACCTCTTTGTGCCCCCAGACCTGCAGCAGGTCAGGAAGCAGCCCTGGCACAGAAACCAGGCTCACATTGCTCCTGTGCCACAGCTGTCTGCTCCAGCTTGTGGGCACAGTGATGTAAGAAGAGTTGGTAGGAATTCATAGAGGGAAGCGTTTAAAAACCATGCAGGACTGGGATTGGAGTTTGCTTCCACAAGGACTGTTGGGCATGCAAATAAAGCTCCGTGAGGTGGAGAAGGGACAAGAGAGTGTTTCACCTGAAAAAAGTTTTGTATAAAGAGCAGATCTGGCAGTAGAGTACAAAGTTTGATTTTAGAAAAACATCACAGGGCAAAATTTACAGATGTTGGCATGAGGAGGGGAGGCTGCAAAATGCTTACCCAGGGAGAGGGACATGGAACTGTTTTTTAATTACTCTGTCTGGGAAGAGATTATATAGAGATTAAGGGAAGCGCATGTTTGCAGAGATAATACACCTTGAGGGACAGCCAAGAGATCAGAGGTTGTCCTGAGCTTTCCCAGTTGTCCAGTGCCTTTTAGTCACATACTGCATCACTCACCGGTAGTGAAATACTGCCAGCACTGACTGGCAGGGTTATGTTCGTGCTGTGCAGGTGCTTTAAACTGTGCTGGGCCAAAGCAATAGCATGGATTATGATGAAAGGACTTGAGCCTGACAAATCAGAACATTTTTTTTGTTACGATTACTGTAACTTAAAGATCAGTCTGGACATGCACACCTGCATGGTGTACTGCAGGTAGGTCAGGGTATGTCAGTGTGGCATACATTGGGATACCGCAGGTGGCTCTTACCTGTGCTCCATGCTCACCAAAAGCTGTGTGCCTGCAGTTGTGTGGTGCTGAGCCCCAGTAGAAAAGCCCCCAGGAGCCGATTATACTGATTTTGAATCATCACCAGCCTAATGTGGTAACATAGCTGTTAAGTTCACTGCTCGGACAGAGCTCACTTGAGTCTGAGTGGGTTATACCATGGGCTGTTACACTATGTAAAGGCTGCATGGAAGGTGCTTGTATAATGAAAATAAATGTATTCCCAATTGCTTTATTTATTCAGCTATATTACTGCCCTGTTTTACTGAGTGCCAGTTAGCTGTAATAAATTTAATTATTATCCTCTACTTCCCTCAGAAATCTGGAGGCGTCCAGGGCTTCTGGGAAAGCTATGTATTGAAAACCAGTTGGTGTAAAAAGCTGTCTGCTACAATCAGGGCAGAGACTTGGATCAAAACAGTGCACATCAGCACATGGCAACCAAGAGCAAGTAGTGCTGCATCAACACAGAGCAGCTTCCAGTGCAATTTTCTCAGCCTCTTGCCAGCCTGGGTCCATCTTTGCTGATATGGGGAGGTGGGAACCAGCTGTTACAGAGGTAGTCAAGTTTAAATGCAGTTCTGCTGTTTTCTAAAGCAGGAACTTTCTCCAGCTTTTTCATCAGCAACTGGCTTTCATCTTTGAAATCTTATCTGATGTGTAAAATTAGTTTCAGGATTAGCCCCCCTAAAATTTGTGTGTGTGTTACTATGTTCTGCCTGAAAGAGCTGTTGGTGCAGCTTTTCATACCACTGAAGGGTACTTGGCAGGAGAGAGCTTTGTGGTTTCTCTCCAACCATGTTTGTAATGGAAAATAAGAGTTACCTATATTAAAGGAAAAAATGTCTGAAATGAATGAAAAAGGCAAATCCTGAGCTCACCTGCCAAACTTAATATCTCTCAGGTCTGTCTCTACTCAACCCAGCTGTATTTTGCTTCCAATAAAATACTTGTTACTGAACATGGCCAAACTTAAAAACTATGGGGGTGGTTGATCTTTTTTAACACAGCTGTGGATTTATCATAGAATATCATAGAATACCAGGTGGGAAGGGACCTCAAGGATCATCTGGGCCAACATTTCAAGTCACTCCTGCAGTGCCTGCACCTCTCGGAGCAACACAAAGGTGCCATCAGGGTGGCAGAGGACACATTTATGACCCTCATCCTTCCCCCCACACTCTTCTGCACTCTAGTCAATGAGCCCCTCAGGGCTTTTCTCTTTTTAGACATTGAGTGCTCCTTGAAAAAGATACTATCAATAGCCAGATATTTGCAGTGTTTAGGTGTGAGTAAAGACCTGTAGTTAAAAGGTTTAAGTGAAGCTAAAAACCAGAGTTAAATATCTGAAAAGGCAAACCCTGAGACCATGGTGAGACAATGCATTTCACTAAATAGTACACATCCTGTTTCTGGGTTATTAATTGGTTTATTCTGATAAATTACAAAAGTGTCTATCATAAAATCAGACACACTAGTACTTAATGCAAAGTTTCATAGCTATACAGAAACATATCTGAGCAAATACGCTACTCAAAATCTAGAAGTAAGCTAGCTAGCTGTAACTAACTAGAAACTAACATTAGAAGGATAAAGATTTCACTGTAAAAGTATGGGGAATTTAAGAGTTCAACTGCTGAAGGATTAGCTTTCTTCTCTCTTCTCCACCCGTTTAATTGCTGCACTTAAGAGCAGATTCATTGTACTTGTAGTGACTTTGAAGAAAGAAAGAAAATCTACCGGGTGGAAAAGCCACCTAGTGGTACAGAGAAATGCTTCCAAGCAGGAGCAAGAAGCTTTGCGTTCCAAAGAAGATTTGTTCTCGTACTGAACCAGTGTGCTGTGGCATACTATGTAGGCTATTTATTACTCACGGGAGCCTAGAATGTGTATTACACGCAAGCAGGAAATCCACAAACGTATTAAATACGTTTTCCAAAGGACAGTACCACAAAACTTTATGTTGGCTCATTGTCTGTTCTATATATGCAGTGTAAACTATAAAATCTCATTTAGAGCTATTTCAGAGAATTAAACAAGGATGAATGAGTTTTCCCCATTTTGATTTCCACCTGTCCAAATAAATGGAGGAGTTACTACTGTCCAGAGCCCAGAAAGAGAAGAAAGACTATAAAGCATCTGCATTATTTAATCTTCATTATGTCATGGCTTTAAAGCACAACTTAACGTGTTTGTACAGCTAAGGAAGAGCGTTGGTTAGCTGTAGCTCTTTTCTGGATTCCCATGGCTGCTTTCTTGAGGATAATTTTTGCATCTGTTGGAAAGAACTGGAAAAGACATACAATTTTGGAAAGCAGAAAATCAAGCAAAAGGCTGTAGGTGAGGCAGATCAAGACAGCACATGATCAACACGTGAAAGTCTGCCCCTTAAGAAAGGCTGAGAGCAGTTGGCAAATGATTACAACAGCTCCATTCCTTCAGGACCCTTCACCTCAGCTCAAGCAGTGGGGAGTTATTGCAAGAATGAAGGCATACCTCCTCTCAGCACATCAATGATTAAACCAGAGCCTTCGTAAAAAGTAATAGAATAGGTGGCATGTTCTTATCTACACAGTCAAAATGCAAAGTTATGACTCGTATGCTGGAGGCTTGGTTTTTATAATGTCAAGATCTTTGCAGCTTTGTGCTCATACCATAGTGTTTTCTCATTTGTAGATTCATCTCTGAATGCACAGATCTGGGAGTTTTGCAAACATGGAGGGATTAGCTCATACACGTATGCAGGTAGGCACATTGCTTAACCAGACCTTAGAGGGTTCTTCAGCCTGTGCTGGTTGTGAGTGGGGATGGAGGGAGGGAGAAAGGGACACCATGCCAAGCTACAGCTGGATTATTGACCTGCTAGGAACTGTGGGACTCTGTAAGCAAACAGACCTTAATGCAGACTGCCTGTGACATGTGCATCCAGCTCTGAGGATTAAGCAGCCCTAATCACTGCCTACCTCTAATGTAAGGAGCCATGATGTGGGAAAGGGGGCATGGCAAAGCTCTATAAAAGACCAATATGAAAGAGAGGTCTATGAAGATGAAGCTTCTTTAGGTAAATGGATTTTATCTTCAGAATTGGAAGCTTAACAAGTCAAACTAGGCAATTAGAATAATTATCCCTAAATGTTTAATTACATAAATGCATAAAGTACATACACACCAGGCCTGAGGTTTACTACATGTAGTAAGTGCATAAATGTGCCAATCTGTGCATCAAATAAATCACAGCATTTATGAAAGTGCACCAATAGAACTGCATCTGCTGAGCTAAAGGACCAGTGAAGACATGCAGGAAAGTACTGGCATTGCCCCAGCTGACATCTCTCCTAGCTGGTAGCTAGGGATATCAGGCTGCAGGAGCAGGGAGCAAGGACAGCTAACCTTACAACTGGCTTGTGCACAGTGGGACCTGCTTCAAGTCAAGGGGTGTTGCTCTGAAGACATTAGTTTCTTTCTTCTTTTTGTGGCAGTTGGCTACTCTAAGCCTTTTAGGCACCCTTAGGGCAGGTGTGGTGTGGACAGAGAGAAACCTAAACCAGGGGCATAGAAATCTGTGGCAGAAACCTGAGAAAGAAGTTCTGGAAATGTGCCCAATTTGGAGGGTTGTGAGGAGCAGCATTCCCAGCTTGTGTGCACAGATATTACACATCGCATGGAGTAAATTAGCTTTCCAGGTGAAGGTAGAGAAACCTGTGTGAGTGTGAGAAAGCACATGTAATCCTCCCAGGACACTCAAATTTGGTTCTTCATGCTTATTAAAGGTAATGAGAATAGGAGGATAATTTGGGGGATGGGTGTGGGGGTGTGTGTCAGAGTGCCTGAAAGTGCTGGCAATTACAGATGGACTCAAGGCTCCCATACAGCCCCTGCTTTTCTCTGGTTCTTTCTGTTTGCTAAAGATCTTCAGAAGTGCAGCAGCCAGAATCTCAGTGGACAATCTCCATGACCACTTCCTGCATGTCAAGACATCCTGCATGGCTGTAGAACCTGCATGCTGTGCTGCACGTGTGTACAGCCTGTCCTCTGTTCTTCAGAAAACCTCAGCCACTGGGGCACGTTCAGTCCAGCTGCTTGATATGTTTCCCAAAAGGATTTAGGAGCATCACCCATGTGGGAATCACCATCATAAAAAATCTCACATGATGCTAGTATCCTTAAGTAAGACTGGTTACAGGCAGAGCAACCTCATCTGGCACCTTTCCAAGCTTTAATAAAGGCTTTTAAAAGACACTGGGAAGTCACTGTGGTTTGCAGTCTTGTCACTTTGGTAATGGTAAAGAGAAATGTGGAAATCTCACAAGCAAACACTCTGCTGAAATTTCTGCAATAGCTTTTCCCAGTATGCCCAGATTCCCAAATCTCCCCCAGTGCAGATTCATCCTTTAAATGAATTTCCTGCATTGTATCACCAAAAAAGGTAATCAGTAGAAATTTAACAGCCTTCTATTTACTTTAACAGGGGAAAAAAAGCCCAAAACCTGTTACAGTAAGCTGTTACCATCTCACTGTTTGTTTTACAGTGAAGTTTCTTTGCTGCCCTTCCACAGAACAAGTTCTCATCCACAAATCCCTTCACTGACAAGGAGCACTCAGAGCTTTCAAACACTGTTCTGATTATCTGGTTGTCAATCTGCATAACACAGGCCAGTGCATTTCGCATGGTACTTCTGCATTGCATCCCTCATTTTTGTGGAGAGTTTCAAAAGATCACAAATGAGCCTGTTCAAATCAGTTGGGTTTAATACTGGAGTAAAGTGCTGCTTGAGAAGGACAGCAAGAATACAGGCATAACCTATAAGAAGTTACAGATCCATAATAAACTACTGTTTGAGTAAGGATAGATTAAAGGGGGCTGCATCGTGGGAGCTGCATTATCTGCTTTTTTCTGTGCAACTCTGAATACACAACTGGGAAATAAACCCTCCTGCTTTCATTGCTTTCCTACTTGTGCGCTGGTTTGTGCTTTATGGGCACACAGTGGGGACAAAAATCAGTAAATCAGTAAAAAAGAAGCTTTGCTGCTGAAGTCACCTTGAGTGGAGAGTAGAGATTTCCCAAGTCTTGGCAACGAGTTTGGTTGTCTGTGTTGGTAACTCCTGTGTGTGAAGGAAAGGGGAGCCCCAAGTTTGCACACTGAATGATAACATTAATTGAAAAGAGGATCAGGACTTGAAGGTTTCTGATCACTAACATTCAAAGTTGCCTGCAAGCTGCTGGGAGCTGTAAAACATGAGTGGGTACACATAACACAGCAGCAGCTTTACCACCCTCCATGCTCATGTTAGGCAGAGTGCAGTGCTGCTGTGTGTGTTATCTGTTGTTGTGCATATGCCCCTAAGGTGGGCGCTGGTGTGCCTTGTTTCGGTGTTCAAAAAGAGAAAATAAATACATATATATGGTGGGTCTGAAATACTGACAGTGTTCTGACCAAACAAGCAATGCTGGGAGTTGGTTTTCAGTCTCTAGACCTGGCATTGGAGGCGGTAAGATAATAGTACAAGGCAGTCAAACACAGATGTGTTTGCATGTTTGATGTCACAGAATGACGGAATGGTTTGGGTTGGAAGGAACCTTAAAGCTCATCCAGTTCCAACCCCCTGCCATGGGCAGGGACACCTTCCACTAGACCAGGTTGCTCCAAGCCCCATTCAACCTGGCCTTGAACACTGCCAGGGATGAGGCAGCCACAGCTTCTCTGGGCAGCCTGTGCCAGGGCCTTGCCACCCTTCACAGTGAAGAACTTATTTCCAATAATAATCTAAATCTACCCTGTTTCAGTCTGCACAGTCCACTTTGCTCTGACCAGACACACCTCAGTGCTGGCAGGGATTACGTTTTGTTCTTTTCCAGCAGCTGCACATTTGTTTCAGCCATGTTTCAAGTTAGGGTCCTAGTAAAGCCTTAGCAAAGCACCAAACTGCAAACACAAACGAAAGAGAGGGAAAAAGACACCAATATGTAATGAGTAAAATCCTGTTGTATGACTGCAAGAACAGGACACCGGGAACTGCTTGTGAAGACCCCTTGCTTTAAAAGAAGCTATCCCTGTGGAAATCGCTTCAGAAAAGGGCTTCTGCTTTCCAGTGTTTCTGTGTGCACGTACGGTGTGTGGATATCCAAGTCCTGCCATTCTTGCTGAGTCAGGCAGAGAGCCTTGCAGGGGGTGAAAGGAACGTTGTGAGACACAAGACCCTTTATTCAGGGAGAAGTTCTATTGCCTATTCAATACACTCCCAGAGCAGAGAACATGAGAACATTTACCTTGAGATTTAGGTTGAACGCTACAGTAATCCTGAACAATCCCAGAGTTCTCTATTAGTGTTAGGTTTTAAGGAACAAGCCTAAACCGAGGAATGCTTTAGTTCTCTGTGTAACTGAACTCATTGTTTAAGGTCTTGATTAATTTTTCTCTTTGCCAAAAACCCATGCTCTTTGCAAAGTCTGGGGGACTGGACAGCCCTGCCAATACTGCTTCACTGCCCCTTTCCCTGGGGAAGTCCTTGGAAGCTGCTTCTGACCCCGTGTTGTCCTGTAGGCAAACTGGATCTTGCAGGAAGTTTAACCGACACATTCTGAAGACTATGCCCTGATGTGCAACTGTTCCAAACAGGATATTTATGGGTAGACCTCATGCATTTTGAGTTGAAGAAGCAAAATCTCTCTCCTGGTTTTTCAGCTTCTTGCTGGCTTTGGTGGTAGCAGGTTTTCTTGGTAGCCTGCCATAGGCTCTCCCTCTTTAGTCTCACGTTTGTTTCTACACCATGGGAGGCTTATCATTCCCTTCAATATCTTTTTTCTTACCAGTACTATAAAATGGGCTATAGCCTTTTCAGGTTTCTAGCGAAACACTTCCTCCTTTAACTTCTGATCCAATGTGTTGACAAACCGGCCTTTAAAATCACAGAGAAGCAAGAGCTACAGGCACAAAAATTCTCATTTCATGACATCTCATGTCAGATGTAACTGCAGAGCAGCAACACATAGCATGTATCTCTATTGGGTGTTTACATGAACATGCAACATTTCTCTCTCTAGTCCAAAATAGGCAAAACATAGAGTTAAGCTCGACAGTGAGATCCCTTCCTTTTGCTGCTTTAACCCTGCAGTTTTAAGTCTCAAACAAGAAGATTTGATTCCATGGTGCTTGAAATCAAATAAAAACCAACAGGGCTGGTCTCAGTGCTGGGTATCATCTCTCCCCAGAAACTCGAGGTCATGTAACGTTTACAGATAATTGGGACAGACTTTCAGTGTTTGTTTGTTGTTGATGCCTTTCCACCCACTAGCAACAGTGGTGCTAAGTCCCCCTTGGAAAAATCCCTTCTAAACACTCATTACTTGCTGCCTACAGCTTTTAACTGCGATTTTCCCGTTAGCGTAAATAATGCGCTTCCCCGCTAGATGTCATCATTGCTTCTGCAAATCACATGGGGTTTGATTAAAAGCATTTAATAAAGGTCCCTCATTTAGACAGGCCTTCACCACACCGAGGAGAGAATCCCCTACCTGCTGGCACTAGGACGAAATGCTTTCTGTAAGAGTTCTGTACCAAAATGCTTTTGACTCCCCTGTCAAGATATGTCATGTCAATACGTGTCACCAGGAGCCCACCTACGACCCCTGTGCCTGGCGCCGCGTTCCAAAAGCCCACTAAGATCATTGGAGTTGTCTAATTTTCTTTGCTTTGTTGGAAATAAGCCTGTTTGTAATTAAATATGACCCACAGCAGCCCCAGTTTCACGCAGCCATAAAGTCCCTGTGGATTTGAGTGCCCATATCCTGACAAGTTGCTCTGGTTCGAGGGTCCAGCAGCCAGCGCTGGCACGAGGCAGGGTCCTGGCTTCAGCAAGAGCCTGCTCTGCAGGAGCAGAAAGAGTGTTTGTCATTTTAAATGTATTCAGTTACCTGGTTAAGGAAAGCTCAAGAAATTGACAACTGAAAAAGCAGGAAAACTTGTTTTCGCCCTTTTACATAAGAAGACAGCTGAGAAAGAGAACTAGCACTTCTGGAACCTTGAGATCCAGAAAAAAATCTACATCCAGTTACAAAGAAAGCTCATTTATTTAAGAAATCAGTTTTAGTCTTTTAAAAAGTATGAGTTCTGTGTCTTGTATATATCCAGTACAGGTAGGATATCTTTATAGTAAAAATACATCTGTAAGCACTTGTTTACTCATTTTTAATTGCAGCCTGACCTCCATCCAGTCTGACCCAAGTGAAAAATAATATTGTTAACGAAAAGCATCATTTGCTATTTCTAGTAGTTTCATTAAAAAGGTAATTAGGAATCTGAATAAATGCATGTGACATACATACTCACTCGAATAAGTAAAACCGACAGGTACCCTCCTGGTTAGTCACATCTAATTAATTCTAACAGTTGTTGAAATCCATCTTTCTTTAAAAATTGAAATAATTCTGGAGACTCAATGTAAAAAGAAAATAAAAATACCAGATAGGTTTTTAAAATTAAGATTTCCCGATTGCTGAACTCTGTCATTGTTAAAGTTCATCTTTTCAATCTATCCCTGGAATATACCGTTAATTGTCTCTTCTAAATACAATGCACAGGAGGCAATTACCATTTTGCAGCTACATCTCTGGATTCAGCTTTTTCATTAAAAAAATTTTGAAGTAATCATGAAAATGAAGGATTAGTAGCATTCAACATGAAAGTTTGATGGCATGAACCAAACATGAGCTATGAGCAACTTCTGTTTGTATTTCAGCTCTGGCCTTTTACCCCATTCCCATTTCACTTCTGGACTTGCCTGAAGTGAATAAGGAGAACAGAGCCAAATTATACAGTGAACTTTGTTATTAAAACAGCATGGGATAATACTTTGGACTTGAGGGAGATTTACATTTCAGTTTAGACCATGGTGGCAATGGAATAACAGCATCTCTGTGTTGCACAGGGCTTTCTTTGGGCCTATCTGGCACTTGCAGATGAGTTGTTTCATTGCTCCAGCGAGTACATGCTCTCCCACATCCAGCCTACCTTTGT